TTAGCAAAATATAACAAGAATGACAAAATTGAAATGAAAGTGAGTTGGTTAGGTTAGGATAGGTTAGATTAGGTTAGGTGTGAGGTGGCTAGGTTAGGATAGATTAGATTAGGATAGGTTAGATTAGGATAGATTAGGTTAGGTGTGAGGTGGCTAGGTTAGGATAGATTAGATTAGGATAGATTAGGTTAGGATAGGTTAGATTAGGTTAGGTGTGAGGTGGTTAGGTTAGGATAGATTAGATTAGGATAGATTAGGTTAGGATAGGTGTGAGGCGGTTAGGTTAGGATAGATTAGATTAGGATAGATTAGGTTAGGATAGGTTAGATTAGGTTAGGTGTGAGGTGGCTAGGTTAGGATAGATTAGATTAGGATAGATTAGGTTAGGCTAGGTGTGAGGTGGTTACACTAAAAGTTTGCTCAGAGGCATTCCGAGTCTACCCACCTGAAGATTAGACACCCCCAGGTTATTTTACCTTTAGATAACATACTTCAGCTTATTTCACCTGAAGATTAAACACCGCAGCTTATCTCATCCCAAGCTTATTTCATCTTAAGATTATATACCCAAGCTTATTTCACCTGAATATTAGACACCCCCAGCTTAGTTAACCTGAAGATTAGACACCCAAGCTTATCTCACCTGAAGGTTAAGTACCCAAGCTTATCTCACCTGAAGGTTAAGTACCCAAGCTTATCTCACCTGAAGATTAAACACCCAAGCTTATCTCACCTGAAGATTAGACACCCAAGCTTATCTCACCTGAAGATTAGACACCCAGCTTATCTCACCTGAAGGTTAAGTACCCAAGCTTGTTTCACCTGAAGATTAACCATCCTAACCTAACCTTCAGGTGCTAAATAAGGTGTAATATGATATATAAAAATAAGCTTACACTGACAAGCTTAAATAGGTAATATAAATAAAGTAAAAAGCTTATAATAGCAAGCTTAATAATGTTATATACTCGTAAATAAGCCTAAAGAAGCTAAGAAAATGAAGCTTAATAATGTTATATAATAAAAAATACACATAAAAGCTTAAGAATTATATAAAAGTAAAGTAAAAAAAAAGCTTAGAAATGGGAGGTTTAAGAATACTATATACGTAAAAAAGCTTACATTGGCAAGCTTAAGACTGCTATATAAGTAAAGAAAAAAGCTTACATTGACAAGCTTATTAATGGTGTGGATTGAGTCACTATAGAAATGTTAAGGATAGAAGATGAAAAACTCACCCGGACAAAACCTAACCCGGACAAAACCTCACCCGGACAAAAACTCACCCGGACAAAAACTCATACGAACAAAACCTCATCCAGACAGGTTAGGTTAGGGTTTAAGACATTGTACTCAAGGGATCAAGTTATCGTACTCAAGGTATCAAGTCATTGTACTCAAGAAACCAAACCATCGCACTCGGGAGGCCAAGCTATCGTTCTCAGGGAGTTGTCATCGTACTCAGGGGTTCAAGTCATCGTACTCGGGGCGTCAAGGCATCGTACTCAGTTAGTCAAGTCATCGTACTCAGAGGGTCAAGTCATCGTTCTGAAGCGGTTAAATCAACGTACTCAGGGGGATGTCATCGTACTCAAGGGGTTAAGAAGAGAGTGAATATACCTTAGAAAACATAACTGAAATTTAGAAGGAAGTTTCAAAACAACATTGTAAACAAAACCCCCGTGTGGTTAATAATGCAGCGGGTAAGACGCCCAAAAGAGTAGAACAGTTCACAGTGGGAGAACAGACCCGACACTGGTGGAGGTAGAGGTATGGCGATGTGGAATCCTGTATACGATGGGCCCATGGGTGTTCATTATGCTCGCTCGTTACCTGTGCATCTCCCAGACATGTTGGCTTCACCCAGCAAGCACCCGTAAATGTATCAAGAATTCAAGAATCATCAATTGTTGTTCAAATGTCTGGTCATGGGTTCAGCCTGACTGTGCTATATCACCGTGAGTCAGAAAATGAAGCTGTCAAAGGTAATGACGGTGCCTTGGGTCTCACAGATAACCCGTCAGCTCTGAGAAGATGGATGATTGTTGGTCCGGAAGTGGCTAGAGTTGTGAACCATCTTACCTTCAGTCAAGATATGATGACATTAACCACCATGAACAGGTGCCATCAGTTCACAAGTTCTTGCCCTCACCATCAGTGGATTTAGTGAACAAGGCTCAACACCTCCAGCTGTTCAATACCTCCACCGCACCCCAGCCGTGTACCCCTGAAGGCTGGTTGTAAGTTTATCAGCCACCTGCATATCCTCCCTCTCTGTCATCCAGTGGTCAACTACACACTGGCAGTCTTTTTTGATCAATGACACCAACAAGACCGAGCTGTTTGCTCCCCTAGATACTAACATTGCAGATACCAAGACATAAGAAGACACAGACATAATCAGTACATGACATCATTGGTCCTCTATATGTAAACAAGGTGGACATAGCTCCTTGTAATCATGAAGAAGCTGACACTCTTGTAACACAGCCAGGTGTGGTGACTCCAAGATAATGATTAGTACAGTAGATTCAGACACCGTGGTCCTTGTTGTTGCATACATTACAAACATAAATATCCATGAACTATGGATCACCTTCGGGACGAGAAGTCATTTGTCACTATCACTATATTACAGCGCATACTATTGTTTGCAAAGTAGGACCAAATGTGTGTAAGGCGCTACCATTCTTGGGCTGTGATACTGTGTCAGCAACACCCAGCGTTGGCAGAGAGAAGACCTTTGACACTTAAAGGACCTTCCCTGATGACATCACCCAAGCTCATTGTCCAACCAACCTGATGATATCACAGAGGAGGAAATGCATGTCAACGAAAGATTTGTAAATCTTCTCTATAGCCGCACTTTACCTCGTGGCAAAATTAATCAAGCTATACAGACATTATTTGTCCAGGGAAACAGACAGATACAGAACACAGGCCGCCCGCCTCCACCAAGTGAGAAGAACAGCTTATTAAGCTGGCCACGTTTGGGGACAAACACTTGAAACAATGCAAACTTTGCCGGAGCCAGAAGACTGGGGAGGACAACCCTCATGTAATGATGGTCACTTGTGGACAAAATTACCAGAAGCATGTGTCTCTTGTGAGCAAGTTATTAGATGCGGGTGTAAGAAAGGATGTGGATGGATATGAAAGTGTGTAAAGGCCAGTCTTCCATGTACAGCTCTCTGTGTGTGTACAGGAACATGTCACAGAGAGTGAACTCTGTTCACGGACTAGAGATAATTACTGTTAATGAGTCAACTGTTAGGTGCTGTAGGCGAGATGGGGTGAGCCCATGATAAGATGGTTTTTTCCACCCCGCAAGATGACTAGTTGAGGACCCCCTCCCCGGAGGAGGCTGACCCCAAATAATTGACTGGATCCGCCCTTGGTGGTCTGCTGCGTTCTACTGTGTAGTTCTTGGTGTGTGTGTGTGTGTGTGTGTGTGTGTGTGTGTGTAATAATATAATGTTCTTTCCAGGTGCCTGTTAAGAGGGTTGTAGCTCTCAAAAGGACTCAAGTAATGTGTAAATATTATATTTGTTGAATGTGTAGCTGGATAAGTAGTTTGTTTCACCTGATCAGCTGAGGTGATCACTAGCAGACGCCTACAACACAAGCCTCTCGTGTCCAGCCTCAATGACTATACACCTCCAGCGTCTGAAAGAGAAGACAGCGCAATCACACCCACAGCTGCATTAAGGCAAAGGTAGATGTTCTCTCTTATCTTCAGCATCACTGTTCGAGGAGATACGTGAAGCTGCCTCCTGAGATGACTCCTATCACCAGCTGCACCACACCGTTAACGCTGGATTTCCCAAGAACAGGAAGCAGGTACCCACAGCTCTGTCCCACTACTAGAAAATACCGGACAGCCTCGCCATCGTCGACTGTCTGGTTCTCAATGGAGCTCGCCTCATCACCCCAGCCTCAGCCAGCCGCCGCCGCTTCCTGTCCCGGCTTCACGACTCCCACAAGAGGCACTCAAACGACGAAGCACAAAGCAGGGCAGACAGTCTAATGGCCCGGCAGTACAAAAGACATCACCAACACCGTTCAGGCCTACGATGCTTGCCAGAAGGGGCCGATGATGTACGGTCCACCGGTCGAGGACCTCTTACTTACGCCGGGAGGGATTACCTGCCAAACATCGCCCCGGTCATGACTCACATTAAGTACTCACTCAAATAATTAACTTGACTTGGGGGGGGAAGCGATGAATTTCAGAAACTAACATAACTTAACATAACCTAACCTAACCTGACCTAACATAGCCTAATTTAACATAATCGAACCTAACGTAACCTAACCTAATTCAACCTACAATCTAACCCAACACAACCTAAACCAACCAAACCTGTCCTAACTTAGTCTTAACTTACCAAAACTAACTAAACCTAACCTAACCTAACCTCCCCCTGAGCATATTGTCACAAAACTAATTACGTGTTGTAGAGAGTTGTAGTGAAGTGTACACGGTAAGACCATGCCGGGTGAGGCGGGGCGGGGTGGGTGGGAGGCGGCCCATATATGACGGTCCTCACCATGAGTCACACGCTTCTGCTGGAGTTGTTCACCTACACTACAGTATTGTTTACAGGAGCTGGCTGGCACCCGTGGAAAGCGTAGAAAGGTGGTGAATCATCCCCAGCTCCTTATATGGTGACTCTGGCCGGGTGTAAAGTACCCGGGGCTGAGGGGCAGGTTTACCACCATAAGCAGAAAGGTCTTGACCTAGGAGCCTCTGCCGCCCGCCCAGTTTGGTTACGAGACTCGGCATCCATCGGCCTATCGCTTGGCAAACCTGGCAAAGATATGACTGGAATTCCCAGGACAGGACGCCGCTGCGGCGGCTCAAGTGAATCCTGGGTCTGGTGAGGCCAACGGCCATAAGTGGCGCCAGTGACGGGTCTCGGCGTCAGGCGGCCCCGCCCCCGCCTCTACAACTTGCGTAAATAGACGGTGACAGCGAGGCGGCGTGCATACCTGCTTCATCTGCCGCGCACCACGGCCACATTGTGGACAACCAAAGGAAGATGGTGTTGACAAAGTTAGCGCTGCTCATTACCGTTGTGACACGCGTCACCTCTCTGCCGCCGTTAACACTTCCATCACCCTCACCCGAGCTGCCAGATGAGCGTCCGGTGGCACCGACAGAACTCCTCAAGGTGCGCTGTGTTTTATGTAGTGACGTGAGCGATACTTGTTGTACATTCCTAAGTGTTATTCTTACACACTGTGCTTTACTCTACAGGCATTCGGTATGTCTGAGCCGGGTGTACGCAGGTGGTACACCGAGCCGCCACAGTACATGCTTGACCTCTACAACCAGGTGGCAGACTCCAGCGGCCTCACGCGTCTGCCTGGACCTTATGGTGCCACCATTGTCAGAGCCTTTTCAGAGAAAGGTCAGCCTCATAAATGATTCTCTTTAAAGTCACAATTCATTTGTCTCTTTAAGCCCAATTGTACACCAAAATGGTGGCACACATATAGAGCAAATATTTATATGACACAACACGAAGATTAACATAACGTATCATACACAACAATCTTTATATACAGAAGGAAGCAGAGACTCAACCTTCTCGTTCTCCGTAAATGGACTGGGAGAAGAGGAACAGGTGCTGCAGGTGGAGCTTCACGTTTACCACTCCCGCCTCCCGAAGACACAGAGGCACCTACTGGAGGACAACATCTACATGGTCTGTACTCTAGTCCACATTATGTAGTGTCCCCTCACTCCCTCACTACCAATAATGAAATATAAAGGCAGGAAATTTACACTAGTTATATCATTGTTGTGACTAAGAACGTGTCTAGTATGAGTCGCAACGTCTTTAGGGAACATTTTAATAATCAATGTATCCTTGGCAGTTGGAAGTCGAGTGGGTGAGTGAAGGAGGGCGGCAGGTACTGGTGAAACAACACGTCGCCGCCCATAGTAGTGGGTGGCGGGTGTTCAAAGTGGGTGGTGGTGTTGTGGGAGCCAGCGTAACCTTACAAGTAACAGCCACCACCTCGACGGGACGCTCCTTACCCCTCAGGCTACACCACGGAGCTCACGGAACACGGCAGCCACTCCTTGTCCTCTTCAACTCACACGCCGCCACCGTCAACAACACCGTCACACCGTCACCCGTCCCCCAACAAGGTAAATAATCTCTGTCCATATAATAACATCACCGTCACCCCGCCACAGGTAAATAATCTGTCTAAATAATAACAACACCGTCACCCCGTCCCCTAACACAGGTAAATAATCTGTCTAAATAATAACAAATACGTAACCTCGTGAGACAGCAATAGACAGTAATTAAGTACAGTATATTACAGGTTAATTGAGTCGTCTAGTTACCTCTCCTAGAGTATTGGTACAGTAATATCATTGTTTTGTAATACATGCGTAGTGAGAGAGAGAGAGAGAGAGAGAGAGAGAGAGAGAGAGAGAGAGAGAGAGAGAGAGAGAGAGAGAGAGAGATTAAATAATAACTTCAGTGTAAGAAATAACCTAACCTAACCAAAACCAAACTGAACTAGATTTAACCTAACCTAACTTAACCTAACCTAACCAAACCAAACTGAACTAGATTTAACTTAACTTAACCTAACCTAATCTACTCAAACCTAAAGTGACAATATTTCAATACGTAAAATATGGCTGCTGTGTACATAAACATGGCTGCTATGTACGTACAAATGTCTAACCTAACCTAATTTAACCTATCTTAACCTAACTTAACCAAGCTTAATCTTCCGGTAAAATAAGCTGGGAGAGCGGATCTTCCGGTAAAATAAGCTGGGAGAGCGGATCTTCAGGTGAAATAAGCTGGGAGAACGAATCTTCAGGTGAAATAAGCTGGGAGAGCGGATCTTCCGGTGAAATAGGCTGAGAGCGGATCTTCAGGTGAAATAAGCTGGGAGAACGGATCTTCAGGTGAAATAAGCTGGGAGAGCGGATTCAGGTGAAATAAGCTGGGAGAGCGATCTTCCGGTAAAATAAGCTGGGAGAGCGGATCTTCCGGTAAAATAAGCTGGGAGAGCGGATCTTCCGGTAAAATAAGCTGGGGTGGCTAATCTTCAGGTGAAATAAGCTAGGGTGTCTAATCTTCATGTGAATAAAAGGTTTTGAACACTTTTCAAAACACAATACAAAATATGGACACAAAATAAAAAAAAAAGTCTAATCACACTTAAATGTTACACTTATACACAAATACACTTACTTATATTAGTGTAGTTAGTGTGTCGATGGGACTAGAGTTATTTAAGAGTCTTGTTACCTGTGAATTAGACTCGTTCATATGCAAATAATCACCTGTTTTAATCTTTCGTCTAATAAGGTGAATTTTTAGGTAATTTTTAGGTTACCTTAAAAAATCATGTGTGAAAAGGTATTAGTTTTTCCTCGTATATATAAAATGATAAACGGGTATATTTTTAGAGTATAATAGTACACGTAAAATAAAGTATAATACCATTGGTTTTATATCATTATTTGTGGTATATCTAGTACCATCATTACTATATACTGCTCAAGGCTTTGGTATATTTATGATACAATGACAGATTCGTAATCAAGGTATTGTTTTTTCCCCAGTAGAATCGACAAAGAAGACTACCACGCTACGGTACAGAGTATTATCAATCACAGTGGAGTCCTTCCCGAGGTACGGCGGCCATGTTGTGTACCATCAGCATACGCTAATCTCTCTCTCCTGTTCTATGATGCTGAGGAGAATGTTGTGCTAAAGCAGTATGATCAGATGGTGGCTATGCAGTGTGGGTGTCACTAGTCGCCTCTTACTGTCAAGGAAATGGCCAAGGAGTACATCCACATGATCTAAGTCACACGAGAAAATAGTTTCCAATGGTAGTTCTTTATTTACGTTTGAAAGGTGATGTAGAGTGAAAGAACAACAAGGGAACAATAACTCGCTTCCTCTTGTGTTATTATTTTCTATCAAGTGTAATTAATATTAAGCTTACAGTCCATAGTATAGTGTAATAAAGTAGAATTATTATAAGAACACGCTTCACTATACACACCACAGCTTCTCCATGTCAGATATAAACTACTCTCTATGTTTATAGTGACACTACACACTGTCACACTATAGATACACATGACACTGTACTGATACATACAACACATTACATAGTGGTGCTGATCATTTAACACACAGTCAAGGACAAACAAACTAACTATCGTGAGCGACTTATAGCGGTGTATAATATGTTCAGTCATTTGCCTAATACACAATTTATTCTATAAAAACCTGATAAATATAGTTTGGTGAACGCTTAAGTTGATGTATATTATAATTATAGAGTTTATAGTGATTTATATGGAAGGAAATATAGCTAACTGTCTCCTTTAATGTCTGTCTGTCTCAGTAGAAATAATGCTACAAAGGGAACAGACACGACACAGACTGTATATATTAAATGAAAGAAATATACTAAGTTTATTAACAGTTATAATTATGAACATAGTACAAAACTGAACACCACTATAGGTACATCATTTAACTTATTGAACGTCTTTAACTGTGGTAAAAATGGTTCATGTATTGGCCTAATGTACTTTATAACTAGATGACCATAGGGTAATTTTGTACTGTGATACTAGCTTTTGTAAAATAAAATGGGATCTTGTGGTGTTGTATTTTCTTACATATTATTATAGTGTTGTGCCAAATCGACCCCCTCGCCTGGGAGACGATTACTCCACACCGTAACGCTTGGAAGAGCACCACACAAGGTGTCAATACTTTCGAGTTAGCCCGACTGTATACCGAGGCAGACAAGCGCCAACGCCGGAAAGACGCACTAGAAGTAGCCCTCCACACGTGCAACATCTGTGGACGACCCTGCCGGTCCCGTATAGGCTTCGAGTCACCTCAGAGCTCACCAACGAAGGTGACGTCTTTAATAACTCACACCATTGTATCATAGCTGGATGATCGTCATACTCGATTCCGAGAGACAGCAAAGTAGGAGTGCGATGTGGTGTGTGTGTGTGTGTGTGTGTGTGTGTGTGTGCTTTAGCACGTGGGCTCCATAACCAACCATTATCCCCACTCCCCCACCAAAAAAATAAATAAATAAATAAATTAATAAAATTCTTCGAAAAAATTAATTCAGACAGTGAGAGAGACAGCACAAGGCCGGGGATGGCACTGAGAGATGTGTTCAATACTTGTAGTACCGTCATCATAAGTATCAGCGTGAAATTTATACATAACAACATAACATTAAGAACACAAGAATGGAGGAAACTGCAGTGACATACTGGGCAGTCCCGTTTACACCCAACCCCTATTGCTCATATCCATCCAACCTATGTTTGAAGCTATCCAGCGTGTTCGAGTTAATGATGATGTTTGGTAACTTGTTCCACTCGTCCACAACCAAACCAATGTTTACCTATCTCGCGCCTAAATCTAAATTTATCTAATTTAAAGCCATTGTTACGAGTTCGCTCCTGGTTGGATAGTTTGAGTACCTTTGTTATATCACCTTTGTTTAGCCCTGACTTCCATTTATACACCTCGATCATATCGTCCCTCACTCTACGTCTCTCGAGGGAGTGCAAATTAAGATTCTTTAATGATTTAATCTGTCTCTATACTCAAGGTTCCTAATGCCCGGGGTTGTCATATACTTAAGGCTGACCGGTCAAAGATATTGAGTTTTTTTTCATCGTGCAAATGAACTCCCTCGGCAAATCCAACAACGTCTTGTAGATGACAATGAGAAATCTGACTTTGATGTAGCAACAATGTGTGCAGCCATGGTTCAATAAGGGCATCTAATGAGAGTGTCTAGGCTGCACTGTACTCTTCATCTGCTCATGAGATACAGGTACAGGTACAGGTACAGATACAGATACAGGTACAGATACAGATACAGGTACAGATACAGATACAGGTACAGGTACAGATAAAGGTACAGGTAGCAGGTACAATCCTCCACCAGCGCCTCAAGGATGTGCTCACCCTCCCTTGTACTGTTGTCACGTGTGGGAGACTGACAGAACATTGACTAAACTACCACACTGTAAGTCAAGAGCCCACTCACACCTCAACACCTGCAGACAGTCCTCATATACTCGACGGAAATATTAATGAAGACAATAAAACCTGAAGGAGTAAATGTGACTCGCTGCTGCAGGAGGTCTTGACGAATAACAAAAAATCACATGGATGTCTGGAGATTTTAACAGGGAATATATTGTATCGTGGGGAGGAATGGTCTCCAACTATCAGTACTCAAGGGGATAAATTATCGTACGCAAGGGTTAAATCATCACACTCAAGGGTTAAATCATCGTCCACAAGGGGTTAACACAAGCTAGTTTACAACCTCTCCTTACTGTTATATTACTGGCATCCTTTGTGACTGTTCTCCCATAAGCTATTCCCTCAATATTAAAAACCTGAAGAAGAATCTCAACCCCGAGCTTATTTTCACCTGTAGATTAATTACCCTAATCCTAACCTAACCTAACTCCAGCTTATTTCCATCTAAAGATTAACCCACCCAAATCCTATCCTACCCTAACCTAACCAAACCACCCTAACCTAACCTAACCATCCTAAACTAACCTAACCTAAACCACTCAAATCCTAACCTAACCTAACCACCCTAACCTAACCACCCTAAAGTAATATCAGGATGGTTAATATTCAGACCAAAATAAACTAAAATGAGAAATTCCTCAGATGAAACAAAACAATAATTATCAAAGGAGTTAATATCGCCTTGGCTTTATGCATATCCCCCCTACCCCTCCTCCAACCTCCCTACCCTCCTCCAACCTCCCCAACCCTCCTCCAACCTCCCCCCTACCCCTCCTCCAACCTCCCCTACCCTCCTCCTCCTCCAACCTCCCTACTCCCAACCTCCCTACCCTCCTCCAACCTCCCCTACCCTCCCTCCAACCTCCCCCCACCCCTCCTCCAACCTCCCAACCCTCCTCCCAACCTCCCAACCTCCTCCAACCTCCCCTACTCCTCCAACCTCCCTACCCTCCTCCTCAACCTCCCTCACTCCCTCCTCCAACCTCCCCTACCCTCCTCCAACCTCCCCTACCCTCCTCCTCCAACTCCCCCTACCCTCCTCCAACCTCCCCTACCCCCTCCAACTCCAACCCCCCTCCTCCAACCTCCCTACCCCTCCTCCAACCTCCCCCCCCCTCCTCCAACCTCCCTACCTCCTCCAACTCCCCCAACCCTCCTCCAACCTCCCAACCCCTCCTCCAACCTCCCTACCTCCTCCAACCTCCTCACCTCCTCCAACCTCCCACCCTCCTCCAACCTCCCCAACCTCCAACCTCCCCACTCCTCCACTCCCTCCTCCAACCTCCCCTACCCTCTCCTCCAACCTCCCCAACCCCTCCTCCAACCTCCCTACCCTCCCTCTCCAACCTCCCTACCTCCTCCAACCTCCCCTACCCTCCTCCAACCTCCCTACCCCCTCCTCCAACCTCCCAACCCCTCTCCAACCTCCCTACCCCTCCTCCAACCTCCCTACCCTCCTCCAACCTCCCTACCTCCTCCAACTCCCCCACCCTCCTCCAACCTCCCCAACCCTCCTCCAACCTCCTCCTCCCTCCTCCAACCTCCCCTACCTCCCTCCTCCAACCTCCCCTACCCTCCTCCAACCCCCTACCCCCCTCCTCCTCCAACCCTCCTCCCCCTACCCCTCCAACCTCCCCTACCCCTCCTCCAACCTCCCCTACCCCTCCTCCAACCTCCCCTACCCCTACGAGCCAACAGCGTGTCTCCAGGGCCATAAATATGTTCGCTGGTTCCTGTTACGTTCTTGGAATCACAGAAAGAATTGTCATGTTCCTTTTTGAGTTGGCGATAACGCAATCAGTAGACAGTATATTGAAGTTTAAATGTGTGTGTGTGTGTGTGTGTGTGTGTGTGTGTGTGGTAGGTCCGATATATGAGTGGGAGGGAGGCAGGGAGGTTTGGGAATCCCTTATAACACGGGTCGTTCTTAAGCCAAGGTCAGCATCACTCGTCCTCACGGTAGATCAATATATTTGTACCCCCACATACCTGTCTATCTCACCCATGACGTAATTGACAGGTAGGTAGAAGGATGGGAGGGTGAGGAGATGAGATAGATGGAGTCCTTACAAGGTTAATCTAAACCAAAACAGATATGTGTGTGTGTGTGTGTGTGTGTGTGTGTGTGTGTGTGTGTGTGTGTGTGTGTGTGTGTGTGTGTTGTTGTTGTTGTTTTTTATTGTTGTCATGTAAACCAGGATGTCTTTCTGTTGACAATTGATGGTTAAGTGAGAGACAGACTTATGGTAAGAATGGGAGAATTATGTTAATGAAACAACCACGACAAAGGGAACTGTTCAACTGGCCAATGTTGTTTATTATTGGCCGTCCACTTTGTATTTGTCGAGCTACATAAAGTGTTATACTATCAATAATCTTCCATCTTATAATCTAACCTAATGTAATCTATTCTAAGCTAAGCTAAGCTAAGCTAAGGTAAGGTAAGCTAACCAATCCTAACCAAACTTAATCTAACCAATCCTAAAATAACCTAACCTAACCATAACACAAAATAACAATATATATGTACACCCTGTACATACATACAGACACACACATATATATATATATATATATATATATATATATATATATAATATATATATATATATATATATATATATATATATATATATATATATATTACATACATACATACGGACATGATGTCAGGTGTAAAAGCCTCGACAGACTCAGATAGTTACATCATTAAACTATCCTTGAAATGTGTGTGTGTGTTGATGATGTGTGGGAGTTATTGA